CCCCTAATTTAAAAATATTAGCCTGTGGTCATAAGTATCACGTAGAATGCTTAGAAGAAATTGGTCAAAAGTGTCCTCCTTGTCTTGAATTCTTGAAGAATGGAATACAAGTAAATGTGGATCAGTTACTGGAACGTCTAACAGAAACGCAGGAAGAAAAAGATAAAAAAAAAAAAAAAAAGGCAAAAAAAAAAAACGTAGAAGTCATCCATCAAGAAAATATACCAGAAGAGGCTCAAGAAAATATAACAGAAGAGTTTATAAGCGAAACAAATGAAGATGACGATAATGTTATTATTATTGGTAGTAACGAAGATACAGTACTCGATAGTTTGCTGCAAAAGCTCAAAGAGTTACAACAATAATTTTTTATTTAAAAATTTTAATAAAAATTAAAAAAAGTTTAATAAAAATTTAATAAAAAAAAATTTTTTAAATAAAAATTCGATAATTGATAAAAAAAATGATCTAATAATTTGACCAATCGTAAAGCGTTATTCAATTTCATGTGATCGACCAATCACGAGAAAGTTATCCTATATGCCACAGCCACAGTTGTGCATCACGGTCACGGGGAACAGCCAATAAAAACATCGCAGATCATCACGTGTCTGCGGACAGCTGTTATGTAAAAAATCTGTGTTGGATTTCTGGTAGGATTTGAACATCCGACCGTAACCGTTATCGTATTCTCGACCGTTACCGTTATCAGAAGCGTCCTCACCCACATACCATAAATCCAAGATTACTAAAATTTTTTAATATGGCTTTCTAAATTCAATATCAATCATATTAAGACCGGTTCCAAAACGGTTCCTGCGATAATCACATGGTCTATCGGTCCCAGTCCTAAAATCGTCCTGACCCGCTACCAGCTATCACTATCTGCTATTATTTTGTACGTACGTACGTACCTTCTATTCTTAAAACTTCGTACTTTCCATTCTTTAAACACTTTAAATCCAATTTATAGAAGCGTATAATTATCATAATAACAAGTGAACTCGGAAATCAGTAATCAGAAATCGTGATTACTTTTTTTTTTAATGATCTTCAAATTTCACATAATTTTGCAAACCGCAATAAAAAAAAAAGGAAACACTAATTTCTGATTACTGATTTCTGATTTCTTCATTTTTTTTGACTTTTAGATTAGACAAATTTGCGTATCTATTATTTTGCAAAAATTTTATTATTTTTATAGAAATTAAAGTTGCTCATTCATCATTTTGTAATATATTTGCAAAATAGTAGTTGCGATCCAATCAAATTTTTAAAATGATAAATGCGCAAATTTTGTCTAGTCTAAAAGTCAAAAAAAATGTTGAAGAAATCGGAAATTAGTGATTACTTTTTTTTACTTTTTTTTACTGATCTTCAAATTTCACAAACCGCAATAATTTTATAACCAATCATAGATTGGTATTTTTTCTAGATTTCTGATTTCCGGTGATACATGAAACCTAATCACGAAAAGCACTGGAAAATTAAACATCAGTACTCAAATAGCGATTGATTGATAAAATAACTTATCGATATAATTTTTTTTTGAAATAAAGCAATACGCAATTGCGTTTTTGTTTAATTCTCACTATATATATGTATATTCTTTTTTTTTTTTTTTTTGCTAACGCTACATCAATTAAATTTCATAATGTTAATTCGATTTCGAAAAATATATTAAAACTATTGCCAATAAAAGTATTTGAATTACGTCCATTCCATGACTTTCTATACATGGGTGTCTAAATTACTTCTCTTAATCAATAACTATTCGACAATTGGTCTGTCATTTTCATAAGTGGTGAAATTATTGGCGAAATTATTTGTATCAAAAATACATTAAATAGCGTAATTATTTGTGAGGATTCACATATAGAAAATATGTAATTGACGAAATTTTTGGCGAAATTACTTTTTTTCAAAAAAGTTAGACACCTATGCATATGCCTTTCTCGACGTTTTTGCCTAGTATACCTCTAAAAAAAAGGTTACGTACATACGTACCTGAATTTAAACTAGTGCTATATTAGTGATTGGGCTCGCCAACTCATGAACTGAATATGGGCGGAATCTCTTTCCGAGCAATCCACAAAAATAGCATTGCAGCTGTTCTCATAAATTTTTGGAGATTTGGAAAAAAAATTGACCGAATGATTATTTGGCCGATTCGATAAATTTGTAATGGGGTACCCTTAAGATCTTTCCGACCCTAACCGTATCCAATAAAATTACAGAAAAAAAAGTAAATAACACAAAAATTTACTATGACAATTAACTTCCGACCTCTTTAGTAAAAGTTTTCAGCATGAAATTTTTTACTTATAGGACACAATTTTAATGCTAGGTATATAGAAAAATTTTGAGATACTACGGACCCATATTTTTTTTTTGGTCGGCAACTCAGGATTTTCTTGACAGCGATAAGAACAGAGTAATGAAGCAACCAGATCGACCAAAATTTAGGGTCGAAATGGTCCGGAATTGATAAATTTCTCCAAAATTTGATGAATGAACTGGTAGCCCACGTACTAAGTAAAGCTGCCCAGACGATAATTTTGCTGTAGTGTAATTGGCTTGTATTATTGCTTAATGCTGGCCTAGCTCCGGGCCTATTCCGACCTTAAATTTTGGTCGATCTGCACTAATTTATCCACGATGAGGGTACTCACGGGAATGAGCGATTACGTAATAATGTGTATAAACATTTTGTGATTTGATTAAGTAAAAAAAATGATATTATGATAAACTATATAATATACATCTTCGTTAAATAACATTTTCGAAGCATGCTCGTTGGACAATTGTAATTGCCAGGCATCTAGGCGTTAGTAAGTTTTTATGAGTAAAATTCTCGACCATTTTTCGAAGGTATAGGTGTGTTGAGAAGCTTCCAGAATTTTTTTTTTTTTTTTTAAGGTGAGGTTTTGCCTTTATCTTTATTTAATAATTTGTATTGAGAATCCACAAGGGTTTTCTCTGGCCAAAGTCAAATTTTACAAATTTTTATAAGAATGAGACTCAGACTATTTTGTCTGCAACCTAAACCTACTAGAGTGATTAAAACTCACCTAGATTTGATAATATATAATATTATTAGTTGGTATACTATATTTAATCCATTGTATTGTCTATAAAGATATTTTTTGAATAGCTTTTCCAAGAGGTGAACATATGTTATCAGTATGTTGTTGATTTGGTAAACCACAAAGGCAGCTATAGGTATTGGTTATTCTGTAGTGATTATGTGTTCTGTTGGTAATATTAGTAGTTTGTTGGTTTTGATTTTATCTTTGATTAGGTCGAATAGAAATGTTGTTTTGTTGTTTCCATTCTGATAATTTTATACAATAAGGTTTCCAAATTTGATTATAAATATTTTGTAATAATTTTAAAAGAAGTTGAATGGTAATATTAGTAGCTATCTGAGTAGAATCTGTATATTCTCTAATCATTTGTATTAGTGTTATAGGGATAAATCCTTGTATTGTGAGATACAGATTTGTATTGTTGTTTGGGCTATTAAATAATAAGTTCTAATGTTTAATGAGTTTTGTATGTAATTCTTAAAGTTCATTTCTGAATATATCAAGTTTATTTGGATGGAAAAACTGTTATATAGTGTTAGTAATTATTAAGCTTAAGTTGAATTGATTGAAATATGTAAGCCAGTGTAGTTGGCTTTCTGGTATATTGCATGTGATGCAGTTAATTACTGAAAGTAATGAAGGGTATAATATGTGCTGATAAGATAGCATTAGAAGTATATTAAGTATAAGTTTAATTCTAAAGGTTTTTTTTTGACAAAGTTTAAAATTGGTGTAGTTAGATGATTTTTTAAAGTTGTTATTAAGGTAAAGCCAGGTTGCATTCCAGTTAATTTGTGGTGATATAGCTATAATATTATTCATTTGGTGTTGTAATAACTATATAGCTATTATATAGATATTATATATGTTTTTAACAAATCTGTAAGTTGATTGTTCAAATGCATACTTTTCATATTAGATATAATATGATGGGTTGTAGATATTGTTATATAAGAATTAGAGTGTTGTAAGATAATTTGCATTTTTTGCTAAATAATCAGCTGTGTTATTAAATATATTATCACTGTAAGCTGTAACTTTTTAAAAAGTAATTGTAAATTTATATGCTATAATTATATTTACTAGGGTATGCCAAATTGGCCAGTATTTGTTAGGTGTGAATAGTGAATGTATTAATTTGTTAAACTTGGTTATTATAAATTGTGAATCTGTATAGATTGTTATATTACTTTTTCAAGGACATATACTAATTGCAGAAAGTATTGCTAAGAGTTCAGCTTTGTATAATAATAGCCATAAGTTAATCTTTGCTGAATAGGTATGTAAAACAGTGTTGTTATGAATTTGAACCTATTTAATTTTTATAGTCCACTGTTCTATAGATATGTTTTTAACTAAACTGTCTGTGTAGAATATTAGTTCTACATGTTAGTTGCAATTTGTTGTAAAGTTTTAGATAGTTGGTTGTTTTTAAAAATTTTTAGTACTATTTTATTGTAAACAGTAATTGAAGGTGGTGTAAGTATTGAGATCGAATTATATAGTGCAATAGAATATACTAAATCTAATATATTAGCATAAAGGTTAAGTTTATTAGAGCTGGTATATATTTTCCTTCCTAGAAATTTAGTAGCTGAGTTGGCTGCAATATTGAATATATATTTGTTATTAATATGATTTGAATTTAAACTACATCTTATACATGGTGTGTAGTTGTAATCTGGTGAAGGGTAAAGATTCATATGTTAGTAATTAAACTCTATTTTCCAGTATATAATAGATATAGTATCATCTAGTTAGTTATATCTTCTTGCTTTTCCAAGGATTATGTTTTGGTTTGTGTTATAGGTAATAAGCCAGAACAATATCGAACCTTCACCTTTATTATCTTCATCTTTACTTAACTCCTAATTGTTTAGATGCAACCAATTTGAAGACACTTTACATCTATTAAACTGTCACCAAGCACTTTTTGACCTATATCAAATATTTAACCAATATACAATACAAACAATAACTAATCTTAAAATTGAAAATATAAACTCAGCAACAATTATAAATATACTACTTAACTCAAATACTTATAATACATCTTCTCAAAACTTCCTCTTTCTTATGCAAAAAACAATCTCTTTTTGTATTATTGACCAACTACAATCTATTCTTACTAAAAATACTACTAACTTCTGCCTCTATCTCTCTAATAATCTCCTTTCATAGTTCAACTTAAACATTTAGTAAATTAGAAACCAATTCCAACATGACTGGGAAACTTCAAAAAATATTACATTCAAATCTAAACAAATTAAATTTTCTTTACCAAATACTATTACTAGAACCTCTGCAACAACAATCTATAATTACAATATTGACTCATTTATTTAAAAATGTCAAAATCAAAACTTTCTATTTTTTATGTTTTTATTAACTCTTATACTTTACTACTGGGCTTTCTCTTTCCCCCTCTATAACTAATAGTAGCTAGTTTTAAATTAGTTTATAAATAAAAAATTAAAAGGTGTTTTGCTACACTTAGATGGTTATACAAGATATAATAGATAGTTTAAAATTTAATATTATCTTGATACAAATCTGTAACTAATCTTATCATATATATAGCAAATTCAAAATAAAAAAAAATAAAATAAAATAAAAAAGTATTTTTATTAAATGTGTATTGAGAAAAAAAGCAAACAAAAGTGTGACTATAATTAAAAAATGATCATATATATGAAAACGGTTAGTGCTTATATCAGAAGCAACAGATAACTATATTATTAGTTAAATTGTAATTAATAAATCTGATTATTGTCAAATTTATAATGTAGAGTATATACTACAAAGTGACACATGCTCTGCATTATATTCAAATAGAAATCCAGAAAAATATTGATTTGCTTTCATTAGCAAAATTTTTAGAGGAGCTATATATCAATAGTAATCCTCTAGATTACAATCAATATATAACCCTGTCGGATATAATTGCTAGTAATTACTAACAATATATAACAAAAATTTGGTAAATTTCTTTAAACTTTAATATTAATTTTCTTGATATCTGCTTATCTAAATCAACTCAAAATTTTACCATATATAGATTATTTATTCAGTAATATTATAGTTACATTTCAACCAATTTGAATTAGTAGTTCTTAAGAAATCATTTGCTAACAATAATTGTTTTTTAAAAAAATCAACTATCATTAACAAATGATTTCTCAAGAACTACTAATTCAAATTAGCTAAAATTTAACTATAATATTATTGAATATATAATCTATATATGGTAATAATTTGAGCTAATTTGGATTAGTAGATATCAAGAAAATTAATGTTAAACTTTAAAAAAATCTGTTAAATTTTATAAAATTATTAATCGATAGTGATTATAATCATTATTAAACATTATATATCAATAATTATTAGTGATATATATCGATATATAGCAGTTAAATAAATATATATTGATAATTTTTAATCGATATATATCAATTAACTGCTATATATCGATATATATCTGCTTAAAAATTTTGCTAAGTTAACAAAAATATCTATTAGTATAGTTAAAAATATTGATTTATATCAATTTGCCTCAACTAGCTATTTATATTGCACTCTCTAATATAACGTAACCAGTTTCTTAATCTGTTGTTAACTTTTGGAGCCTGTGTTCAAATTTTGACTTAACCTTGCTTATTTTTTACGTTTGTTGACTTTCTACACAGTTGAGCAAATTTATATCATCTGGCAAAAATTATACTCTTAATTTTTACCAAATTTAGTATATTACACTGCATTAAAAATTACAAAAATATCGATTTCTCTACAATTTCTTAAATATTTTTCTGTGTCTCTGTATCCTAACAATAAATCAGTTATCATCTACAACATAACCAATAACAAGTATGTATTTTAATATAGTATTAAATTCTAAATTTCTGATTTCTAGATTATACGTGATATGTGATACATGAAATTTGATGGACACACTAATTTGAAAGCACAATAAGCGCGATAACTCTATACCCAAACGTTAAATCTAATTTAGGTTCAATTCTTGTTATTAAACCTAAAATTTGGATCAAGTGAAGCAGAAGCTGAACATTCCTAAAATTCATTAATGTAAGACTTTAAAGGTTTCCACCTTGCTTCCTTCATCTTCAGCCAATAATGTTGATAGCTTATTTCACAGATGTATGAGTAAGCCAAAAGAAAACAAATACATTTAAATACAACTTATATATAAATGTATAAATCTTTTTTTTTAGGGTAGGGTGGACATAGATCATTTTTTATATGATCTACATGGTATTTTAAAATTTTACATAGGCAACAAAAAATCGTCTCTGATAAAACTTTTTAGAATCGTGACTAATCTTCACCAAATTTTTCTAGTATATAATTTGGAGTCTCTTATTTAAAACAGTAAAATTATGAACATTATATATTTTAAAAAAATCCACTTCGTATATTGATAAAATTCCATAGGTGGCCCCAAATTTCCCTAGGTCGCACAAAAATTACCGATTCTGATTGGTCAAATTTGTTGTTTTTACGATTCTGATTGGTCAATCACATGTTTTAATATGAATACCATGTGATGACTATTAAAAATGATCTACGTCCACTCTACCCTTAATGACATCATGATGATCTTGGTTAGGGATGTTATCCTGCTTGTCCAAACTCAGTTCGGGCCTGTTTGAAATCCAAACCTGTTAAACACGTGTTTCTGCAATCACGTGATTTTAATTAGGAACTTTTAAACTCTACTGTTCATAGTGCTCAAATCGGGTTCGAAATCGATTTCTTAAGCAAAATGGTTAAATGAGAATCGCATTATTTTTTACTAAAAAGTTATACTTTTTTTTTAAAAAAAAAAAAACGTATCTCCTTGTAGAAGCACTTTCAATTACTATAAATACGTAAAATTTTTTTTTTATCTTCACACGTAAGATTCTTTTCTTTTATCTTATTTTCACATGTAACTTTTTTTATTCTTTTATTTTCATACGATGAACGAAGAAAGCACACTAGAACAACCTAATAAAATAAAAGAACTTACCTCCACATCTATTTTGACATTATCACATCATACACAACAAACAGTCCCTCAAAACGATTTAAAACTGAATCCATCTGGGAAGAGCTTGTTGAAAGTGGCGACAAGTAAGTAATATTGCAAACATTGCTTCAACGAATACAGGTCTTTCTACGATAAAAATGCATTTTAAACGTAATCATCTGGATAAGTGAATGAATTAATAAGAAGTATTAGTAAAACGAATGTTGAGTCATATAGATCTGAAGAAAATATTGGCGCAAGCCTTTGTTTGTGAATTGGGTATGATTGAATACATGAGGGTCAAAAAATAAATCACTGCAATGAAAATATAATACAGTATATAAATGTTGATATAATAAATATCAAGCGAAATGTACGCATAATTTATTATACTATATAATAAATAATTATTCAGCAGGTTTTAAACTAACATGTTTAAGCGTGCATAACATTACGGCGCGTTTGTCAAATTTAACTAAATTTTTTGCCCCAAATTTAAGTTTTGGGGACAAAATTTATTATCGATTTTCCAATATTGAACCCAAAAAAAAAATTATTAACACTCCGATCTATAATAACAATGCGTCTAACCCATTTTTCCCACAGGCTAACCCATCTTCCCACTATTTGACGCATTTCATTAGACATATAAATTTATTATAATGACGCACCTTAACCTGGGAAGCATTGACTATTTTAGCCAAAATTACTATTTACGTATTAGCAGTCAAAATTTTCAAATTTTGGGGTATTTGACAAATGCGCCGTAATGACCTAGATAATCACAAAAATTGGAGATTTCCGCCCATATGTTCGGTTATTCGGCAAAAATTAATAGTTTATTTTGATTATTCAGCAGAAATTGATAGTTTATTTTGGCTATTCGGCAAAATTTGATACGTACGTATATACGTAGCTTACTTCATTTTATCAGTTATCGGGACGTACGTACGTACGTTTTATTATACGGGTATACTTATAATGCAGTATGATATACTTTGCGTATGTACTTTTTAAATAAATTTTTAGAATAAATCAAAATAGATAAAGTATTAATTTTCAAATAACAATGTATCGCATTTTTCGATAAATTTGTAATAATGATTATTGTCGTTGAAAAATTATTTATTTAGTTAAATGGGAGCCCAATTTTATTTTCCGTTTTCAAAGTTTTGACACACAAATAAGATTTTCTAGCTCCTACTTATTTTCGAAATAGACCATTTTTCTTCTTAATACTAAAACCCTTAATTTTAAATTTTCTTAGATGATCGAAGCGTGTATATAGATTTCCACATTTTAAAATTCTCTAGATAGGACGAAACACTTGAAGCAGTTATTTACGATTGGATAAGTCGAAATAACTTAGCGAAGTTTCTTTATTGTTTTGTAATAAAAACTTTTACACAATTGCTTGTTTACATGATCCGATTTTATACGTGTTATTTTTTTGTTTGTCGTCATATATTTTTAATTAAATTTTTTTTTTTACACTCTCCATGTTATGCCCGATCATCGTAATCTGACGGATAATACCGTTATTGGACGCTACGCACCAAAACTATATATTAATTATGCCATTTCATTTATAAATCAAATTTAACTAGCATAATACCAAATCAAAAACATAATCAATGCTGGCCATTATATTATTCATTTTTCACGGTTTATGTATAAGGATATAAGTTCTTAAAGTGTTCTATTTAAAGGTGGAAACCACCGTAATCCCGTCAAAAATCTCGATGAAAGTTTTAAACGACTGAACACTGGATATGTTTTATGTCATGTATCTTCACGCTTGGGAATTTCGTACTCCTATTGAAGAAATAATGCAGGCATGTTTAGATATATCAGAAAAGTAGGTGCAAAAGTATCAAAAATGAGAGTTTTGCCTCAGTAGCATATTACTAAATGATCACGTGGACTTGTCACACGTGACTAAGTACGTATAAGCGAGTATAGAAAGTACGAGCCCACGCTATGGTGGCACATTCTACTTTCTAGTAGCTGGTTCGAACTCACGCTACGGTGCAATGCATTATTTTTGCTACGCATAACAACGACCAGGGTGTGAGAACATTTAATTTATTGTAGCAAGTTCGGGTCAACGCTATGGCTACAGTCTACATCCATACATATTCTGAATATTTGATGTTTCATCATTGTAAGACTCTATGCGTTGAAGATAGTTACACTAATATGATTATCGCGGGGATCACTCAGATTTTTATTGACATGTATGACAGATATCATAGATTTGATTGAATAAAAATCATATTTTAGATTATCTACTTTTAAATGGACAATTAATCATACTATTCAAGCTTTTAATGGAATTGAAACTATTTATGGGAGGATATTTTTTCTGATTTGGTTAATATTAACTGATATAATACTAATATTTATTTATGGTAACCCTGGGCATACGCCTTTAATAGACACGCCTAATATTTTTCTTCTGACTTTTGCGATGCATTAAACAAAGCCTTATACTTGTCAGGAATCTGTATTCCTTTACCGAGATATTTTTCAAAATTCAATGTTAAAGAATAAGGAAATGGTACATCTTTTGATGCTGAAACATCATCCAACCTTTCCATTTGCTCAGGTGTTAATCTGTTTATTTAAATTCATTAAATTATAATTAAAAGTGGAGACCCAAATTAGTACAAAATTTATGAAACTTTATAAAACCTACTTGAATTCAAGAGCCTTAAGATTTTCAATTAATTGAGCTTTTGTCCTAGCACCAACAAGAGTTGATGTAACGCCAGGTTTTTGTGCGACCCAATTTAAAGCAACCTTTTTTAATTTTTTTTTTAAACAAGATTTAATTATAAAATATAGGTAATTATAAACAATTTAAATCGTAAATACCTGAGCTGGAGTTCTATTGATTTCAGCAGCAATAGCTGTAACTTCATCAAGGATTTTCCAATTTGTTTCACTGCTTCCTAATCTCATAATTGAGTTATTTCGCATATCGCGCATATCACCGGTATTTCTTGCGCTGGCAACCGATTCTCTGGTGTGTTTTCCAGTCAAGAATCTAATTCAAAGATTGGTAAAAATAATAAAAATAGAAATATTAATCAACTCATGCATTATTGCATAAAGAACCAAAGAAACAATTTAAAGATGATTATTACCCTTCAGCAACACATCCCCAAGGAATAATTCCAATCTTCATAGTAAAAATTAACAAGTCAGTTATGCTGTCAAAACTGGTCAATCACATTTCAAAATCCAATAGTAACCAACTCTAAAAATATATTTACGCACATCAAGTTCAGCACAAGCAGATTGTATATCATATTCGACGGATCGATCTAATAAATTATATCGCGTTTGGCACCCAATAAAAGGGCTTATATAATTCAACAAGTCGTATTACTTTCATCGTTACGATAAAAAAAAATATAATCATTATATTGTATGTATGGCATTACCTCCAACCACGAAGCTCAGCAATTGTATTCGCACGACTAATCACCCATGCTGGTGTATCGCTAATCGCGGCATAGAGTACCTGTAAGAATTTGTATTAAATACTAATGATTAATTACACAATCATACTGAAGAATAGCATACCTTGCCGCTTCTGACCGCATCATCTAAAGAACGTATTACTTCCTCAATCGGAGTACGATATTCCCAAATGTGAACGTATAAGAGATCAACGTATCCAGTGCCTAGTCGTTTAAGGCTTGCATCGATATTTTCAACAAGAGATTTGCGGTGGTTTCCACCTTTAAATAGAATCTTTTTCAGAACTTATAAAAAAATACATAAATTCATAAATTGAATACTAAAATTACCAGCATTTGGATTATATTTGGCATTTGGCATTAGAGCTGTATTATTCGCTTTATAGAGTTATGAATAAAGATGAATATAAAATCTATTGGAAATACCAAATTTTACAACAAAGAAATCACTAAATAACATACCGCTATATTTGGTGGCAAGTACAACTTGAGAACGTTTATCAGCGATATATTCACCAAGAAACCGTTCGCTCTTTTTTTATTAAGTAACAAAAAAAAAATTAGCATATGTACTAGAGAATACATGTAACCGTATTATAATCATTAATCATCATTACCTCGCCAAAATTGTACATATTAGCAGTATCTTAAAATTATTATTTGTAGAAAACAAATTAAAAAAGTCAAACTCGAGAAATTAAATGGCAATTGTTGCAGGACTGATTAACATCCATACCAAAAAAATTTCCGCCTTTTTCGTAATAATAATCAAAAACCTCCTTAGACACCTCGTAATTCGAACCTAAACCCTATTCAAAGTGCATAAAATAAAAAAATATGTAAGCGTATAGCTTTTATGTTAAGGAAACACAATATATCAAAGAAAATTCTTACGAATGCTTCGCCAAAAGTCTTAAATTGAAGCAGGTGAAAAAAAAATTAAAAATTAAATAAAACAATAACTAGCTTTGTATTGTAATGAATTAAATATTATACCAATGTGCCAAGGCATAGGGGAGAAATTCTCAAACCACTACGTCCCAGAAGAACATAATCGTCAAGAGCTCCAATGGTTTCTTTAATATCTGTTGAGTCTTGTGCCATTTCGGTTATTATTATTTTTCTCACTAGCTAAAGAAATTTTCGACGCAATTTATAAGTGCGCACGTATAGTACGTAGCTAAATATTTTGCAATAAAATTTATTGCCGATGGTTTCCATTAATCGTACGATGCAATAACCAAAATTGGAACCGTAATTTACTTGCACGTTATGTAAATCTATTCAATTTTGGTTTAGATTGCATCAATCCGAGTGGAGAACAATTTTTTTAATATAAACTATTGCAGCATGAACTTGCATTACGTAATCATTAATAATATTAAATTTCGGAAACACTAATTTATGCATTTCAGACCGGTTCTTTTTTTGTTTTTTTTAACCTTTGCGGAACGTTGTTTGGCCTTCTAAATTTGTAAGTGCACCCTGCATTTAAAAAATTTTCTGGATTAATTAACCAAACGGTAAGCCTGTTATTAAACGATAAGATGTATAACAACTTATGAAGGATTAGACCCGTTTTTTAATAATAGGGATGTCATTTACTAATTCATCTCTATCCATTAATCGGCTTTTATAATAGTTAAATGTACGAGCGGGTCAGGCTGTTAACATCACTATTCAATAATTAGTTTAAGACTTTATAAGATAAATTTTCACAGAAAGTCACATCCAATATGCACAAATATTACACAAATCTGTAGGTTTTCTTAAATTTCATGGCCTTCAGAGATTTTAATATAAGGGTTCTCTGATAGTAAAATGATCCTTCGAGTGATTTACATATAGACATTATTCAATCGAAAGGGGGAGATTTGCAAATTTTTCAAAAAAATTTTTTTTTTACATTAATTAACATAAAATATGATTATAAACATTTTTTAAAGGTCAAAAATCCATTGCATTAATAAAATTTTGTACTATAGCTTTTAAAATTGTAATTTTTTATTATTAAATTTATTAAATATTTTTTAATTTTCGCGATTTTTTCTATATATAAATTTTTTTAGAGTTTCCCCTTTTCTATTCAATAATGTCCATATCCTGAAGGTCATGTATTTAACGAAGTCTCATATAGACTAATAGATGATCCGCGCCTGCGCTAACGGTTTTAATATCTAATCTGAAAATTCTCAGAAAGACAATTATGCATGAATAAGCAAGCGCCTAGAATATTACATAATTTAACATATATAGAATAGTGATAGATAGAATGAATAGAAATTTAGGGGTTCCGTGTCATTTCACGACGATCAATTCACTGATTTCTTGTTTCATCGACAAGTTTATTTTGTCGACAATTATTTCGCCGATAATTATCTCACGACAACTTTTCTTAAAAATTGTACTAAACTTAATCCTAGTTCTAAACTGATCTAACGACAATGACCAGAATTACTTTGTCGGTGAAAAGACTGTCGGTGAAATAATTATCGGTAAAATAAATTTGTGAAACAAGATATCGACAAATGGAACCCAATTCGGGACTTTACTTATTGTGCATGTAATACTGCACAAACTCCTAAAAAAGAAAGCTGGTCAGTAACATAGAGGGCTTTTAATTTGATTGGATTATATCCTGAAATGCTACGCAATATGTTCTACACATTAGAGTAACATTTTGCAGTTACAAAGTGTATTGGTAGCCTCGGATACGAATTGGTAAAGCCTGGGATACAAAAAATTTTAAAGAATATATTTTGTTTTATAAACTATCATAGTGATTCGTAAGTTAAATTCAATTTGTCTCAGAAGTCCACCTAAACAATTTAATTTATGTAAATTTTAGTAAATTGACATCTGGGCCATTCTAATTGACAATTGAGACAAATTTAAACTTGGGCACAACATATATATTCATATGCAATAATACAAGCATTATGAGCCTTGTTAGTAAATATCATAAATTTATGTTCACTATAACCGCATGATATCAAAATCATATTTATTAATGTAAATAATGATTTTTAAAGTTTTTTTGTCATAAGTCAATATCAGAAAAAAAATTATTTTTATTATATTTTTTTTATAAAACTGAGTGTCCAAACAATGTATTGTTTTTGATAAAAAAAAATTATCGTTGGTTGTAATTGCAAATATCACATATAACAAAATCGAATGGAGTCAAATTTGCCAATATGAATCAACTTTTGTGCAATAATTAACACAGATAAAAAAAATTCAATAGAGCCTTCCTTATTGTTGCCAAATTTTGGCCCAAGAGGTCGATAGGATATTGATCAGAGTGATAGTACTCAATAGAATACAAAAAAGGTATTAATAGAGTATTAAATTTTTTATTGATTGGAACTATTTAAGCAATAGTTACCAATCTGAACCAATATGGGACATCAATAGGGTACAATTTCAATCGGGATTTTACTGATTGGAACTATTTACGCAACCGTTACCAATCTGGACCAATAGGGTCAGAACTCGATTCGACCATAATCTTCTGATTTTAGAATCCCATGACAGCATTTTCACTGGAATTCTGAACTCTCATCGGACGCCCAGATTTTTACATAATTCCAATGGTTCCGCACAAGTAAAATGATATTCAATAGTGCTTACCTGACAGTACCTATTTCTTACGAATTTTGGCGCTAAAAAGGTGTCAATCAGGAAACAATAAGGTTACCCGATTAATTGAATATCATTTTACTTGTGTCCCGTGAGATAATAGAAAAACATTCCTATGATTGGCTAATTTACATCGATCACGGCGTTTTATGGGGTGGGAACTTTGTGTATTAGTGTATTAGTCCTAAAGTTAAATAAGTTGGTAGAACTAGTAACATAGAATAAGTTATGACAAAAATTAACCGTTAGTATAGAGAATGGAATCGTCAAACATCGATTGATTCCAAAATTCGATTTGAACATCGGTGAAAAATTTTAATGTCGGGGATGATGCTGGGATCACATGATGATTTTCCGCATATCCAATCCAAGTGTGTCCGTCATTTGATATACATTTGATATTGTCAAATAAGATGTGCCATACTAGAACTACAGTGTTACCAATCTAGAAAATTTCACTACTAGAGTTTGGATATGATTTTTTTAATGTTACATATGCTACACCTGATCCCACTAGGGTGTTTATGTCAAAACATACCCAAACCTTAACATTAACACTAACGACAAAACTTTTTAGATCAGTGATTCTTGAGTCAGTGACACACCTCATTTGACAATATCAAATGTATATCAAATGACGGACACACTTGGATTTAATATTAAATTATTAAATTATTTAATATGCAATTTACATGAGTTATAATCTTTATATTTTATCGTTATCCCTTAAACGGTAAGCATTTGCAGGCAAATTTGCCTGCAATTTTTTCATTTGCAGTATATATATAAAATTTTACGAAATTTAAATCTTATACATTCAAATTTTTATTGTAACTAACTGTTCAATGCTACAAACA